GAAACTTAGATTTAGCTACTAGAGTTAGTAATAAAATAAAATATTATATTAGTTATGTTATAACAAAAATCTATTAGTCTATCCTCAGCAGTAGTCCACAGTTGATCAATATACAGAAAATCATCAGGGATTGGCAAAGACAAGATAATTGGCAGGGTAGCCAGAATTTGGGTGTTTCTCTAGCAAATTAAATTAAGATCAGATCAGATGGTATCGCTCCACCTGATCCTCAGCTGAAAGTTTAGGGTGTCTTTGAAGCTTCTTGGTGTCTTATGCTTTCAGCGCCTGGCAGGAGGACATCCCCCTGGTTCATCTTAGTCTTTAGAACTTTAAAAGAGATCAGGGCAGGGTAGGCCATCCTAATTTTTGAGGCCCACGGTAGGCTCTGGGCTAGAGGCCTAGGGAAATGATCACTCCTCCTACTTCCTGGTTTTTAGTCTTCAAAGGGAGCTTAGGGGCACCTGGCAGTGAGCACTATTTTGTCAGGATGTGGGGGATCAAGTTCTAACTTGACCTATGTTGATTAAGAGCCATAAAGCACCCAGTGGGTTAGTAGATCAAGGGCAAAAAAACCTAAAATGGGGATAATAGATTATGTGAGATAAGAAATTTATTTAAATAAAAGCTAAAAGTATCTATAGTACTTCAAGGCTAAAAGTGGTGTAGGATAGAATATTCTAAGTAGACATAAGTATGATAAGCAAAGGTTAGTATAATGTAGTTAAGTAAGTATATAAGCAATAGTTAGCATATGAGTGCATAGCTTTGTAAAACTCTTGGCTTATGTTGCCAATAAACTTTAATTTTTTTTAATTTTTAAATTTTTTTCAAGGTGGGACAACCTGAGGACAATACAGCACCAATGAAGGGAAGTGAAGAAAATGGGAAAGGAGAATAAAACCCAAAGAACCTCCATGCGTGGCGTATGATAGGCCAGGAACTCCATGGACCACCTTTGCTATTTGCTATCTCAGTTTGGGGCATTGGTGTACAACACCAACACAGTCATATTCGTCCCCTACCCAAAGTTCACTACCAGGATTTAACTCAGGGAGGCAGTGGTAGAGGGTCCATATTCTGCCACTGAGGGTATCCTCCCCTTTAGGGTGCTAGTAAGAATAATAGTAAAACAAAAAATAGATAATAATGTATGTTTGATTATACTCAGCTTAAATCAGCAGTAATCACAAAACTATACAATAGCTCTTGAGATCAATTCCTGAAAGATTTAAGCCAGAAAATATATTTATATACAAATAAATAAAATTGGAGATAAAACTTAATACTCTAAGATATCTCAACTCAAGTAAATGAGGAGCACATCTTGGCATTCATTAATAATTAGATAATAATGATCTAAAACCCCTAGTAAGAGGATTCAAAAAATAGGGCAAATACTGACAAGGGTGTTAAAATTGGCGCTTAGGCTTGATGTACAATTGCACAGGTCAGTTATTTTTATATGTTAAATAGAGGCAACTGTATGAAGACAGTAACCCTAAAATAAATGATGAAATATTTATTGTCCAAGGTTTTTATTTAACAGCTTAGACAAGCTAGGTAAAAGAAAGAATTTTTAAAAAGCTATGACTCCATAATTATAAACTATACCGTGGAATACCATGTAGTGCATAATTATTTTGGAATATGGATAAAACCTTTGGCCTAGAATTTAGGGTATAAAAACTTAGTGATTTTTTAAGCCAGTATGGGGACAAGGAAGAGTATATAATAATAATAGCAATAATAACAGTAATAATTTCATTTGAGGTGGTCTGACTATAACAAATCAAGTGGCACCTGATCCATACATTGCCTCAGATTGGGTGGCATTCAATCCAAATATTGCTTTGATACAAAGGGCCATGAACTGGGGGTGGAAGGCGAGTCAGTAAGGGCGTAAAGCTACCAACCTGAAGGTTGTGGGTTCAATTCCCACCCTTTGTACATCGATCAGGGTACCAGCCAAAGAAAGCTATTGGTGGTTAGTAGGTCTCATAACACGAAAACCTCACCCATGACGTAACCAGAAAAATTTGAGTCCCAATATGGAGGTGGAAAAATTTTCTTTGACGGAGTTGACCCTGTTCAGGTTTCATGTCATTTATTTCTTTTGGTAATGCCTGTCCCCTGGTCGGCTTGCCTCGGTTAAATAAAAACAAAGGGCCTTGAACTTGAGAAAGTTGGAGTTAGTGAGATTTGACATTCCAAAACCAAAATGAATCCAAAAAAATATGACATCAGACTTATGCAAAGCGTGGAAGTTGATTTGGTGGGATGTGGAGTCTTCATGAGCGATTTGCTGGATGGTGTTCAAGAGAGCCTAGCATAGGTGGGAGCTTACACAATGCTAGCAGAGTGCTAAATATTAGGGGATGATTTGGCCCTGAATGGCCAGCTGCGTCTTCTACAAAAACCAGAAGATTTAATAAAGATTGCTTGCTTAAAATAAGATATTATTTTTTCTGTTATAGTTTTGGATCAGAGTTATGAGCTCAAACAATGAGCTTGGCATGGCGTTGGCATCATTCTTGGCCCTTTCCTGGAGTCAGACCCTGCTGTTGATGTGCAGCATCTTTGGGACAGTGGTGCGGAAATATGTGGCAATGATAATGCATGGCAGAAGGTTTAGGGTTGATCTTTGGCAGTCCTGTCCCTAGTATGGTCAGCAATGTGGCTCTTACTTCCCAAATCCTTAATGGCATAATGCGCAAACCTTCCTGTTACAATAGATGCAATTCTAGTACATTTTTGTCAGTCTTGTGGGGGCCTCAAGAAGAGGTGTGGCCCCAGGAGGGGAGGAATGGTATCGCCAGGTTTTGACTGTGGTAATGGTGAGTTTCTCATTAACATTCATAAAAAGAGGTGGTCTGAGTATGTGGCGCAAGTCCTGCTAAGGTGGAGGAGAGCCATGGAGTATCTAGATCTCCAAAATGTCGGGCGGCGTTGCCCATGGAAGCTTTGGAGAAGAATCACTAAGTGGTGGCACGGATTTGTTTTCAGGAACAGTTGGCTCAAGCAAGAGATGGGGTGACCCCTTTATCGCTTCAGATTGTGCAAATTGTGGAGGTACTACCATCAGACCTGGTGGGGCGGGTGCAAGAACTGAATAAGGAGCAAGGTCGCCTTCCAGGATCCATGGATGAGTGTGTCAATTGGAATGACCGGGATGCCTGTCCAGAAGAGGCGCAAGATGAGGCGTGGTCAGCTTTTCTGATGGTGAGTCAGGGGTAAGGATCATTTTAAGAATATGAGCAGATTTTCTGACCTTTGGCTCAAGCAGCATGAGTGTAAGATTCACAATCATCGTGAAAGTTTTGACAGGGCTGCAAGTGTATATATTGGCCGCTATGGCGGCTGCTTAAGTTCAGAGTACGTTGGATGAAGAAATCATATTGGCGATACAGGTTGAGAAACAATTGGCCTTGGTGTAAAACTGGCTGGAGGATTCTATGTCCTCAGGAAGGGGAATGTCGCCTGCAGTGGCTCGTAGAAGTCAAGGAGGATGGCAGGGATCACACAGGAATTTTGGAAATATCCATGGAGGGTTCCACCAGGGAAACGTTGAGGAGTCAGGGAGAACAGGAGGTCTAGGACCCAGGAAGAATAATGGCCCCAAACTTAACTTACCTGCAGACTTGCAATCTGAGAATGCTTTGAACATTAAATATACTTCTTCACTTTATCCTCAGTTATTTATTTTGGGAATTTATTTTAACAAGGTCAGACAGTGAAGGTGTTGGCCCTGGTAAATACAGGGGCTGAGGAAAACTGTATTGAATTTGCCCTGGCAGAACGTTTGAAGTTGAGAATGAAGAAGGGTCCTGAGCGGTGTTCACTGACGTGTCAAGGAAGGCTCCCTCATAACTTTTGGTGCCTTGGGTAGTTGTTCAGCAGAACCAGTTTTGGTTCAGAGAGGGCTTCTGTGCAATCAAAAATGTGGCCCATTCTGTGGTACTGGGGATGCGGTGGTGGCATTGGCTCCAGCTCCAGGTTGATCCGACGCTTAATAAAATTACTTTATATCATCCATTGGGCCTTGGATGAGATGGAAGATAAAGGTTAGAAATGATGTTCCAAGTGGACACAGATTTGGGGGAATGCAGGAGGTAGAGTTACTGTTTAAATATAGAGACTTTGTGGGTGTATTTGGTCCTATTGGGAACTCGCCTTTTTCCCCTACTAGTTCTTTTTCGTTTTCATCCCAGTTCAAGGAAGGGTCAGAGCTTCCCAGGGGATGTCCAGTATGCCCTCTTAATGAATGAGAGAAAGAAGCGTTAGAGGGTCATGTGAAATCTATGTTGGACAAAGGTTTATAGAAACTTCTGAGTCACCGATAGTGTCTTCTGTATTACTAATGCAAAAAGCGAGTGGAAAACTATGACCATGCTGGATTTCCGACATCTGAACATGGTCACTGAGCCTGATCCATATCTGATGCCTTTGTTGGAGGATATTCTCCCAATGGTTACTGGATGCACCATTTTTTTAGAGTTATACCTCATAGACACATTCAATCTGGTACTGGAGAGACTGAACATAAAAATACACTGCGTTTAAGTGTCACTTGGGGTGTATCAATATTGCGTGATGCTGTTTGGTCTTAGAAATGCCCCAGAAGTATTTCAGAGGATGATTGATCAAGTCCTTGGAGGGGTGATCGGTCAATGTTGTGCCACCTATATGGATGATATCTTGGTGTTTTTGCGGTCCTGAGAGGATCATGTCCATGATTTCTGGGAAGTTCTTGGGGCAATTGGCCGGATGGGTCTGAGTTTGAAACCTTTTAAAAAAAGAATTCAATCAAATTTTGGTGGTGGTGATAGGGGGTGAAAGGCAAGTCAGTAGGGCGTATGGCTACCAACCTGAAGGTTGTGGGTATGATTCCCGCCCTTTGCACATCGATCAGGGTGCCAGCCAAAGGAAGCTATTGGCGATTAGTAGGTATAATAACACGAAAACCTTACCCCATGACGTAACCAGAAAAATTTGAGTCCCAATCCAGAGGTGGAAAAACTTTCTTCGACGGAGTTGACCCTGTTCAGGTTTCATGTCATTTCTTTCTTTCTTTCTTTCGGTAATGCCTGTCCCCTGGTCAGCTTGCCTTGGTTAAATAAAGAAAATCGAAGTTTGGTGACGTTCCTTGGCAACTAAGTTTTCCAGAATGTTTTGGGAGTATGTCTGGATAAACTGCACGCTGTATGAGCATGGAAGGCCCCTACTGATCAAATGGGGGTGCGGAATTTTTTGGGAACATTGAACTTCCTACGTCAGTTTGTGAAAAATCTATCCCAAATGAATTACTCTTTCAGGCGTCTAATGCAGGATGTCCCATTTGTGTGGGGAAGAAAAAAGAGCAGGCATTTAAATTCTATAAGTTAAGTTACTTACCACGCCTGTCTTGACCCATCTGGATCCCAAAAGCCATTTGTGGTAGAAACTGATGCTTTAAATTATGCCATAAATGCAGTGTTTACACTGGAGGGGGAAGATGGGCTCAAACACGCTGTGTGTTATTTTAACCACAAAATTCTCCTTGCTAAAACAAATTATTCAATATATGATAAGGAACTGCTGGCGGTAATGGTGGCCTTGCAGGAATGGCAGCACCTCCTGCTCTATGCCCAACACTCTTTCATTATATAAACAGACCATAAAGAATTAGAATATTATCTTGCACCCAGGAAGATGAACCAGCGGCAGGCCAGATGGCATGTATAGCTAGTCCGATATAACTTACAGGTAGATTAAAGGCCAGGATCTTCAAATGTCCTAGCAGACTGTAATGGATTAGGAGGCACCTAGTCTATACATTGCTTCAGATCAAGTGGCTTCTGATTTGAAAGTGGCCCTGATTCAATGAGCATTTAACTATGGAAGGTCAGAGCTTGGAAAATTCGCCATACCAAACCCAAATCACATCTGCGGAATAACAATGAGCTTATGAGCAGCATGGATGGTGATCTGGTGGGATGGGGAATTTTTGCTAACGGTGTATTGGTTGGGGTTCAAAAGAGCTTAACCAAGGAGAGGCTTATTCCATAGTAGCAGGGCACTATTTAGGGAGGATGTCTCAGCCCTGAAGGGCAGTTGCATCTTCTATAAGGAAAAACAAAAATCGAATTTAAGATAATTTGCTTGCTCAAAAAACCATTAATTTTATTTAAAGTCTATTAAGCAGATCGAATTGGAATTATGAGCTCAACTAGTGAGCTTGGTGTGGCGTTAACGTTGTTATTGACCCTTTTCTGGTTCCAGACTTTGCTGTTGATGTGCAGCGTCATGGTAACAGTGGTACCAGAATACATGGTAACAACATAGCATGGTGGTCAGGTTTAGGGATGGGCTTCTGAAGGCCTGTCCCTAGTATGGTCAGTAACATAGCTCTTAATGCCCAATTTGTTCGTTGCATATTGGCGCAAACCCACCCATTACATTAGACAAAACTCAAACACTTTTCTGTAAATTTTGTAAGGCCCCAAGAATAAGTGGTGGCTCTGGGAGGGAAGTAATGGTACCACCATGTGTTGATGGAGGTGATGGTGAGAACTCTCACTTACATTCATAATAAGAGAGGTGGTTTGAGGGACCATCTAGTACTAAAAAAAGAGAGGTGGTTTGAGTGTGATACGAGACCTGTAAAAATGGAGGGATGCCAGGCAGGTCCTACATCTCCAAAAGGTCGGGCTGCTTTGACCATGGAAGCTTTGGAGAAGATCCACCAAGTGGTGTCATGGATATGTTTTCAGGCGTGGTTGGCTCATGCAATGGGTGGGGAGACCCCCTTCTCGTTGCAGATTGCACAAATTGTGGAGGCACTACCCCTGGAACTGGACAAGTGGGTGCAAGAGTTGGTTGAGGAGCAAGGTCGCCTCCTCAGATCTATGGATGAGTGTGTTGATTGGATCAACCAGGCTGCATGTCTGGATGAGGCGCAGGATAAAGCA